AAATACAAAAATCAATTTCACATTACTTTAAAAAAAAGGTAAACAGTACAAACTAAAACGAAGGCATAAATCAAAATAATAGTAATAAAAATAAAAATAATACCTAAACATTGCATTTATGTCGTGCAAATTAACTTTCAAGTTTCAGCCTAACTAAAGATCAAGCATGACATAAGCCTTTACTGTCTTCTTGGAAGGCTTTGTGGCTTTTGTGAAAGGCAAAAATCAGTGGACAGGAAGGTAACTTGGAACAAGAACAAGAGACCATACACAATTTCTAAACACATTTTTCTGCAACATGAAATTAGAGTTATTTGGAGAATAAACCCTCTTAAATGTCCCTTTACATACTGGTGTGTGTGTAAAACTAGTTTTTTTTTCTAAAAGTGTGCATCATCTTTTGAGTCAAATTCTTACATTTAATCAGTCAATTAGAATAAAAGACATTTGGGCTGTTACCAAACAAATTATATCAGTATCAAAATTCATCTGTGCAATGCAGAGGAAACACAGAAGCTGCATGGGATGGATTTCCCACACAGAGGGACATGAATGCATTTAACCTGCAGTTACAAATTCATAAATAATATTTTGTTATTTAAAACATAAAACATTGAATAATGATATTTAAAATTATTTTAAATGCAGTTACAAATTCATAAATAATATTTTGTTATTTAAAACATAAAACATTGAATACTGATATTTAAAATTATTTTAAAAACGAAAAGATACTTTAAATGTCAAATTAAACCCGCCAGCAGGTGGCAGCAAATCACTGTTAAAAAGTCATTTCAATTGAACAGAACGATTGATTCATTCAGGAACGAAACGCCATCATGTTGCACAGAGACGCAAAACAGCACTGTGGCTGTGTTTGGATTTTTTTTTGTTGGCAAAATAAAGCAAAAACAGGCAATATACTGTCTGAAACGTAAGTCTCATAATATTACCTTCTTGTTTATTGAACTGTTGAATAAAATCACATTTGTAATCATGCCGATTTTAGAGGTGAAATCTGGCACTCTTCATGTGATATTGACTAACGTTCTTTCTGTGGTATTTTTATGCACAATGGCGTTTAGTCTTTCTCAAAACATAGCTAACGTAGGGACATTATAACTAGCCACCATATTGATTTACGATCTTAAATAGGTCCAGCGCTTTTTTTTATAGTCTATGGTCCAGAGTTTATCGGGTTGTGCGTCAGTAATAATGGTCAGTGGGGAAACACGGTGTTCCGTGTGTAGTTACAGTAAATGGATTAAACGAAGCCTCGAGGCAAAAAATTTTTTGTATTCGAGTTACTCAATGTATTCGAGGAATCGTTTCAGCCCTACATCAGAGATTGCAGAGAGAACAGAGACTCGCATTGCGCTTTAAGTGAATTATTCATTCCAGAATTGTACCCTTAGGGCAAGTTATTTATTTTTCATTGGCTCAAGTAAAAAAATATAGATGTGAATCATTACCCTAGATTTTTTTTAATTGGACGAATGAAACATTTTTTTCAGTGTACAAATGCTCAGTAAACAAGTTGAGATGGAATTCAGATGAGCTCTTCTCCACCTGCCACATCTCATATATCACCTTAAAAAGCCCATCAATGGATCTTGTTAGCCGTTAACCGGTCAAAGCTCCTCGATGTACTACTAAGAACCAAATGTCCTGAAATGACACCGGTTTAAGAGTGTTTGTCATTTGTCAAAGACCTGCATAAAAATGCCACTGTTCTTGACTGAATCTGTTATTACGTTGTAGAAGTTGGCCACAGTGTGCTGGAAAAGAGGCCTCAACCAGCACCAAAAATCATAATGAAAGTGTGTGTGGTGTACTGATTGAGTACTCATGGTGTCATGAGTACTGAATTAATCGCCGCGAACATCATGGTTCAAGATCAACCACCTTGAGCCGCAGCGGTTTACCTTGATACGGTCCTAACACAGAGCTTCCCTCTGTTATCTCTTTTCACTGGCCTTGTGCGACAGAGTAAAACCTGGCTTATGCTTGATGTTATAATACAAACAAGAAGGTGAGTGATTTAATGAACTAAAAAAACTTCTGATGAGCTGTATATTTTCTGCTCATGGCCACCTGTTGTTTCAGCAAACAGAGCAGCGCCTCTCAGTTCTGCTTGGCAGCTACAGTGGTTCTCAACAGAATACGAAACAACACTCAGTTCCTCTAAACAAATACTCAAACTCAGTGTGCAGTTCTCCTAGTCCCCAATCTGTCATGTTAAGACTGTGCAGTGACATTGATGGCTCACCAGAGGTCTGTGCAAAAGATACAGGGAGAAACACACACACACACACCTTCATGTTTGTTCCTCAGTGGATTGAACTTCCCCTCCACTAAAGAGAGGACTAAAAAAGACCACAAAGAAAGAGGAAGCACAAGGAATGCACTCAGATGACCGCAGCCTGACCTGAAAACACTTCTGCAAACTCTGATGCTTTAAAGAGTCCAAGGGGTTTGTGTGTTAATGCTTCTGTGAGTGCTTTTAATTTTTTATTTATACAAACACTTATAAAACTTAAATTTGTTTATCTGTCAATATATGTGTGTGTGTGTGTGTGTGTGTGTAAATGTTCTTAATGCAAAAATATAAGTGTGCCTTCATCTTTGGATATACGTCACTTAAAATTTCAAAAGTGATATATAAATAATAAACAGTCTACAAATCCATAACGACCAGGGTTGATCAACAAATTCAGAAAAACTGCTTCACAAAAGTTGTGGTTATAATCTAAATAAGTACATAAAGCAAATTTTTACCATCCTCCTTTCCAGACAGTTAATACAATCAGTCAAAAACAACAACCGGTAAATACCACTGTTTGATTCAGTGCAAACAAGACAAAGCTTCTTTTCCTTCGTCTATTTCTGCTGTGACAGTGACTGTGGCAACACACTTGCAAACTGAACCTCAACTTGTTCAAGAGAATCTTGTGAAAGCTGTCAAGATCATGTCCAAGTCATATTTCACCAATAAATCTAAAGGAGGAAACAGGAAATTCTATTCTCTTGAAAAAGTGAAGCACATTTGAAGACCTAATAAAAAAAATTTAAAAAAATCATTACTGCAATGCAAAAAATACACTATATTACTGAACTGCAAATATGAAGAAAATACTGTAATCAATTTATTTTAGCAATCAAAATGAAAGAGATTCACTGTAGAATAGTTAGTATCTTGGTTACATACAAATGTGCAGATGAACACGGCTGATTGAGGAAGTGCACTCCTCTGTGCTCGATAAGCAACGCAATGCATTTAAAAATTTGAATACATTTGAATCTGTAAAATATAGACTTGAACGGACAATTTAAAATAGTAAAACGTATTATTATTTGTATTATTATACAAATTATATTTAAATACACAATATTTTTGTTGACATTTCTTCAGGATTCTTGATGAAAAGAAAGTTCAAAAGAACGGCATTTATTTGAAATGGAAATCATAACATTTTAACTGCAACATTATAAATGCCTTTACTATGACATCAAATTAATGTCTTTGCTGAAAAAATTTTTTTCTTACTGATCCAAACTTTCAACAGTAGTGTATATTTACATATAATATATATTTGCATTGCATTAACCATAGCTTTTTTTTTTTTTTTTTTGCAGTAATAAGGATTTTGTGAACTGTCATGAAATAATGCCATAATACAAAAAAGCATAATGGTCCAAGAACAAGGCTTTAGTTTCCTGTAACTCATAATTCCTTTTTCTTCCCCTTTGATTTTGGGGTGACATGTGACCTGGACATGTTTTCTGAGAGATTTGCTAAAAAATTTTTTTTTTTAAAACCCATTAAACTATAAACTCAAAACCTTGATCATTCTTTCACAGGGGGGGAATTCTGTCTAGGGGTGATTGGTCGTCTTGTAAAGTTTCTAGTATGTCAAACAGTCACACAGTTACTTCAGTTTCTTCTGTACAATCCTAATCTGAATAATCACTACAAAGAGGATGCTCACAAGTGCAACCCCAACCAACTTCCCCAACATGAGAAAACATGCAAAACCAGAGACATCAAATAAGTAGAGCAAAAGTGAGGTGAAAAGTTTGTGTATGTGTGAAAACGAGATCAGACAGAGCCAATTGAGAACCAGAGAAGGAGAGGGGGTGGGGGAGGGAGATGAAGTAAAAGTCAAGCAGTACCTTTTTTGGCGATCTCCATCTCCTCCTCCGTCCAGCGAGACGTCTCTCCAGCTTCAACTGCGCCTGTAGCGACACACACCGTCAGTGTCAGTGAGGAAAAACTCGAGCAGCGCTACACGACACGGCTCATCTCACACCCTCCCTTTCTATCTGTTTACACTCGGGTGCTGCGGAGACCTCCACCCTCCTCCAGACCTTCCCTCCCTCCCACAGTCTCTCTCTCTCCGTCCTCAACCGCTTTCTGTCCTTTGCCCCATTTACTGCTTTCCCTCCCTGGTGCTTACTGGACTCAACTATGCAGGCTCAACTCTCTCTTTCTCGCTCGGTCTCTAGGAGAGAGTCCAGTCAGCTGATCTCAAGCAGTCAGTGGAGGAGTGCAGAAGCACCACCCTTCTGGGTCTAAGACCAGCACACACACTCTCACTCACTCACCCATATCATTAGGCAGTCTGTCTCATAACAGTAGCCGAGCTGAAGCGAGCAGTGCAACAACCCCTCCCTACGTAATTTCCACTCAAACTACAGCAAGAGCAAGAGAGAGAGAAAGACAGAGAGAGAGAGAGAGAGAAAGACAGCATGGTAAAGAAAGACAGCCTGTGCTCTCCTCTCCCGCCCACTCCGAGGGTCTCCTTGAAATTGACTAAACACTAAGACAGATTTAGCACAGTGTGAACCTCTGACATTTATGCGAGAGTGAGAGTGTTTCCCCCCCGCAGTGTTTGGATGACTTGTGCGGCGAGTCTCTGCTAAAACTCTTCAAATAAACGTCTCTTTGGTGACACACTAGACGCTGTTTGCGTTACCCCATGACCCCTGAGTGTGTGCGTGTTACGTTTATATGCTCGTAGTCCACTGCTTTGTCATGTTGATGGCGGTTTGGACATGGAATTGGTGCATTATGGCTCTTGAGCGCCGGTTTATAACTTTAAACTTACTTCAAAGACAGAGAAGATAAAAATCAAGCACAGACAAGATTTTTCAGGTGAGACAGGCAGAATCTCGTTGGGCCTACTAGGGCTTGAGGTTTAAAGGAAAAGTTCACCCAAAAATGAAAATTCTGTCATTAATTACTCACCCCGGCATGTCATTGAAACCCGTAAGACCTTCGTTCATCTTCAGAACACAAATAAAATGAATTATTAATAAATTATTTTTGATGAAACCCGAGAGCTTTCTGACCCTCCATAGACAGCAATGCAACTGACATGTTCAATGCCCAGAAAGGTAGTTAGGACAACATTAAAGAAGACCATGTGACAGCAGTGGTTCAACCGTAATTTTATGAAGCTACGACAATACTTTTTGTGCGCAAAGAAAACAAAAATAACTTTATTCAACAATTCTTCTCCTCCTCATCCCATCCTCCGCCATTATTGAGAGTCCCACAACACATGTGCATGCTGCTGCTGCTGAAGAACAAGCATGCACTGCGCCTTGTTTACAAGCAGAGGAATGCATGCACAGGAGGAGAAGAAATGTTGAATAAAGTCTTTATTCTTGTTTTCTTTGTGCACAAAAATGATTCTCGTAGCTTCATAAAATTAAAGTTGAACCACTAGTCACACTGACTACTTTAATGATGTCCTTAATACCTTTTCTGAGCCTTGAATGTGTCAGTTGCATTGCTGTCTATGCAGGGTCAGAAAGCTCTCGGAATTCATCAAGAATATCTTAATTTGTGTTCTGAAGATGAATGAAGGTCTTACAGGTTTGGAACATCATGAGGGTGAGTAATTACTCACAGATTTTTCATTTTTGGTTGAACTAACCCTTTTAACAGCTTTACTGGTCCATCAGATCATAATACAGAGGACGGAGGTCAGACTGGAGCCTGAAGTTTAGTCACCAGTTGTGTTTCAGCCTGTGGAGTACAGGCTGAAACACAACTGGTGACTAAACTTCAAGGTACAGCACGTTAATCAGCTACAATTTCTGACCTGGATGCTGTTCAGGGGTAAACGTAATGAACACTGTTTACAGAACAATGAGGTCTCTTAATTCATTTTAAAGTGGCACTGAAAGCTAAATGAAAAAATCAGGCCGTTCTTTCATTCCCCTTTTCGCTCTAATCAAACTCCTCCTGAGACTCGCCGCGTTTACCTGCCTCTCATTATTGTCTCCATGGCGATCCCCCCACCCGCTGTCACCACAGCAACACAAACTCAGAGACCTTGAGTCTGGCGTTGGGTGGCAGGAAGAAGAGAGGGACAAACAATCTCACAGAAAGAGTGAGAGAGAGAGAGACGGAGCAAAAGAGCAACAGAAAACAGCGAAAAGAGGGAACAAAAGAGTGCAAAGGGAATAAACAGTAAAATGAAGAGAAACTGTCTAGATGTCATGACGGCGAAAGAACAGAAGAGAAGTATTGGTGATTTGTCAGCCTCAGGGATCAAATCCTCAGTGTTTCTGTACAGCAGCCCTGCGATCACGGTAACATTTGAATCAAACACCACTAACGCACGCATATACCACGCTGCGGCCAGAGAAAGCAGCAATCTAGGTGACTTTTAGGCTTTGTAATGAGGTCACAGAGGAACCGCTCACAGACTGACCACACGATCAGCAGACAGACATCACAGCACAAATGCACCTTTTTGAGAGGTGACAAAGTGAGTGAGTGTGTTAATGTGAGAAGCTATTTGAACAGAAAGAGAGGGAATGTATGTGAGGAAAAAGGTAGTGCTTACCTCGTGTCTCTGTGCTGGCTGTGGGAGAGAGTTTTGCAGGCTCTCGTGCTGGTTTCTGCACCGGCTCAGTTTTAGAGGGGGGTGTGGGCTCCGGCAGAACTAAGCAACACACAGAATAAACCATCATGACTTGGGCTCATTTGTGCTTATGTTTACGTGCCCTATCATTGGGAAGTTGAATGCATTATAAGCAAATCAGTTTGTTCGGACTAATCATTAAAAAAAGAAACATGAATCTCTAGTTCTCAGTTGTTCCCGAGTTGTTATTTTTTACATTTCAGTTTGTGAAACTGTTTGACTGAATGAAAATGAGTTAAGTTTATACAATAAGGTAAGATAAAAAAATAAAAAAACTTTTTACTAATGTTTTTTTCTGCTAGTTCTCAGAAACTCAAATTTTTACTTACATGTTTACTGGCCCCATATTTTAATATCTTGTTTTGTGTGCCTTAAAAATGTATTTATAATTTTCATTTGATGTTAATTTTCTTTTATAATTTTTTTTCTTTCTTTTTTTTCATAAAATCATTTATCAGAACAATTGATTAGGTTTTTGATTTGCAAAAATTGCTCAAAAGTGACAGTAAAGACATTTAAAATTTTAGGTTTAAAATAGGGATGTCAATTTTCGATCATTTCCATGATCGATCGTCGTTTAAATTAACGATCAATTAATCGATTAATCGTTAACCTTAATGCTGCAAAATGCGTCTATGCAGCCCAGCATGACAGGATGTGCAACAGTTACTAAAAACCCCCTTTTTTTTACTTTGTTGACTGTTTCCTATCCCGTCACGGGGACCGCTGAACGCGCCTCTTTAAATGGTTTTGTGGTGCTCGTTTTTGTATTTTAAAACACAATTGCAATGTTTTCAACTGACATTATGGCATTTAAAATAAAATTATCCCAAACGTAACTGTGGCGCGTGTGGCTGTGCTGCGCAGTCAGTGAACCGCTTCCATCGGCGCTGCTGCAGCAAAACACACTGTTGCTCACATGAAACATTATCATGTGAGTATTATGAGTCTGACCAGTACTTAATTTGATCCTGCTGGATCCTGTTGCAGAAAATGTCAGATTTTAAATTTTTGCATTCCGGTAGGCCTATTTGTTTTTTAAAATCCGGCATTTACAGTGTATTAGATCGTGACAGTGCATGCTTGCGTGCATACGAGACGGAGCAAGCGCGAGTTTGGCTAGATGTATTTGGAGCTTATTCCTCATGTCTCATTCGGCACAAATCCAAATGTCTTAATCGACCATCGATAGCTTTAATCGATTGCATCTCTTATCGACAATTAATCGATCATCGATTAATCGTTGACATCCCTAGTTTAAAATATTAATTTTAAGGTCCAATTCTCGCTACTAACAAACCACCAACTATGACTTTTGCCTCAATAAACTCCTGATTTGCTGCTTATTAATAGCTAGTAAGATAATTGTTAAGTTTAGGTATTGGGTAGGATTAGGTAGGCCTGGGCGATAAAACGGTATCTATATTTATCGACGGTACACCTTCAATATCGATAGAAAAAATGTTCGATATAGCGCACGATATAGGCACGTAGCCTACTATGAGTGACGCAGACAGCACACAAAAACACGAACACATGCTGAAATGAGTGCTGTTCCTGCCTGTGATGAGGAGATTGTGAATAAAGAATGAATATTAGTCGAATTTAAAATAAACATTTGCATTTGAATGTTAGGTGTGCATCAGGGAGCGTCATCAGTGGCGCGCGAGATGCGGTGATAATGATGTAAGTGACGTTGTTGCATTTGAATGTTTTATTAGTCTAGCCCACAAGATGCGCCGCTGCTGCGTTATTCATTCAAAATATTAGAGAAATATAGAAGCTCAATGCGGAGAAGCCATTCACACAGAACGCATATTCAACGCATTTTTTAGATGGACAAATACGACTGCTGCACTCGCGTCTCACACAAGAGATGTATAGAAAGCCATGCAAAGTTAAAACAGTTTAAACTTTTAGAAAACACGTCACGAATTCGTGGATGTTTATTCATTTTCACTGCGTCCCATATGTTTTTAAATGCAGTCTGTGTGAATGGCGCTTCGGCTCTTTGGATTAAGCAATGCATAAATACATGATGCTGTTTTGTTCATAATTGTTCATGCAATTTACGAAATTATATTAGATTTTTATGAGTTAATTTAGACGTAATGCACGTTTTTATAGAGTTACTTGATAAATGCGCTGCATTATTTTGTTCATTGCGCCCTCCTGTGGCCTCGGGAGACAATTAGACCCATGCAATAAAGACCTATTTAATCTGCATATAAAACATTAGAAATTAGATATTTAATTTTTATTGTGTTTGATTGTTAAAACAAAAAATATTTGTTGTTTGTCTCAATAAATTGTAATAATTATAAATACAGTGGTTAAATTTAAACGTTTTTTTTTTCCATTGCTTTTTGTTTTAAAAAAGGTTATAAAAAATGTTAATAATTATTGATACCGAACGATATGAATATATCGCCCAGCCCTAGGATTAGGGATGTAGAATATGGTCATGCAGAATATGTGCTTTATACGTACTAATAAACAGCCAATATGTTAATGCTAATAACCAACTACTTAATAGTGAGCATTGGTCCCTATACTAAAGTGTTACTTAAATTTTTTTTTAAACACTTCCATTTCATTTCTATTCATCAAAGAATGCAGACAAAAAGGAATTTACACAAATATTAAGCAGCACAACTGTTTTTAGAAAAGCTTATGTAAAATGAATGGCAATAATATTTAATGCAAACCAAATGTTTAAGCTTGCAAGGCATAAAAACACATGCTCAACAAATGTTACCTGGTTCAGGTGGCGGTGGAGGTGGTTCCTCTGCCACCACAGATGCAGCTTCATTATTGGCCATGGAGCGGGTGGTGATGCGGCCCTTACGACGTCCCTGGCTGTTGGCGGTCTTTCGGCCGCGTGGCGTGCTTTGCTCCTTACCCTCTTCCTCCTCTCCCTCACACTTCTCTTTATCTTTACTGATGTCCCTGCGGAGGCAAAGGCGAGGAATAAAGGCTCTCCTCCACAATGAACTCAATTCAAACCTAGATATAAACAAATCTATTCAGATGGTCAGAGCGAGCAGAACACAGAGTTAGGAATGCAGATACTGTGCGAGTTTCTCACCTGCTGATGTATTAGGTCTTTTGGAGTTTATCGCAGAGCTTCCATAACATGAGCTCACACAGATCTCAAAACCACTTCTGTACGGTTTTGTGTGTTCACAGAAAAGTCAAAAATCCCAGTTTTTTTTATAATTAATTCTACTTTTTAAGAAAACAAAAACATGGGACTTACTTAAAGTCCTCTTTTTCATCTTTCTCCTCCTCTTCCTTCTTCTCCTCGTCCTCTTTCTTCTCTGATTTCTCTGATCTGTCCTCTTCGTTCTTGTCGTCTGTCTTGTCTTCCAGTGACGGTCGTGTTATCTGCTTTAAAAGGAAAAGAATCACAATAAAAGAAGCATTTAGACCGCCGACCTTTTCAAGAGCACAGACCTGTGACCAGGTTCACGTCACGGGAATAATCAGCAGTTCACCTTAAATTGTGTCAGCCCAGCTATGAAGAAAAAGTAATGCTTATGTATCATCAAACACCAAATGGGAATATGTTGAAATATGAATCTAAAAAATTAAAGTGAATATTTCAGTTACATTTATTAAGCTTGCCCTTCTTTGTTGCACTCACATGCTTGCGCTATCTCTCAGTGAAGTTTTTTTTTTAAATCAATAGTGAATAGTTTGTGCTGTTAGAACAAGTTTTTATGTGAAATAAACTGGAAATATATATATTATACACACAAAATTTTGTGCAGATCATGTTATAAGAATGCCTTTTTGACTATAGTCAGACTGCCATTTCCTTAGTTTGGAAACTGTCAAACTTTTGGGAGGACCCGAGTTTTCTACATTTCACTGTTTGCCACTGTGACAGGGCCCACAAAACAGATCTCACTTCAGTTTAAAGCCAGACGGCAAACCGAAATGCATGCTCCAAATCATTCCTGCTCTGGACTGAATCAGACAAAATTCCTGTCTGGTTACTGATGATCTATCTCTGTCTCTCTCTTCCTTACTTTTTTCCATAAAAAAGGGAAAAAAACAACATTTCAAACACATTCAATCATCACATCCCTTCAGGCCTACTTTCCTAACAAGGAAAGTAAAAAGCATTGCAATTCTACCATTTTTCATATGACAACAGAAATTTAAAAAACAAATCTGAAAAATGAAGTCAGATTCACTGTGCAAACTAGTTGGGACTGAATTACCTACAAGAACAAAGTAACCTGGCCTTGCTAGTTCTTAGAAATGTAGCTTTCTGTGCTCAATGGTGCTAATTTTTTTTGCCTTTCAAAACCTTATCTGATCTTCAGAGTGACGATAAGCACAGAACTCTTAAGATCTGATACATATGACAGAAACGCATAATGTGGGTCGAAGGGTAAAATATGCATGATTGGCATGACTGGAATGGCCAAACATCTAAACATGCACAGCATACAATGATGTTAACATACGTGATGAATACCAGGATATGGATGTCATCAACAGAAAGAAAGGACCAAGAAGAGGTGGAAAAATATGAAGAGAGAAGAGGCAGATGAACAAGTGAGAGAAAAGCTAAACAGAGCAAGTACTGGCCAATCCGAACAAAGTCCTGTAGGTGGTACCCACATGAACAGAGACTTGGGAAACACCATCCACACACACAAAACACAATGAGCACAATGTTTTATGCTGTTAGTGCAAGTTTAAAGAGTTTAAAAAGTGTCTCTCATAGCAGCAGAAGTCAGGAGTAAAATCTTTCTCCAATGTTCATGAACATGTAAAAACATGTACCACAGATCTGAATTTTCAGAATCGGTCTCTTTGTATCTAGAGTCACACATTTGATACAATAAATGCAAGTCAATGACATGCACTACTGTTCAAAAATTTAGGGTTGGGTAAGATTTTTTCCATTTCAGAATTCAGAAATTAAAAACGTTCTCATTACAGAAGAGATGTATTCAAGTCACAGTATGAATTGCATTTTTCATGTAATTTTTTAATAAATTAATCTGACAAAGAATATTATATTATTGAACCATATTTATCCAACAGGTGCAAACAACATTATACAGCATCAATAAAGTTGATACTGTACTGAAAAATATCTGAAGGCCAGCATAGTCAGTGCAGAAACGAGATGTTTCACTTCCATTTAAACTTTCAAAACCATCTAAGCTTTACAAGAAATCAATAGAGCAGTATTAGGAAATTAAGTTTGCAATTTGAGTTTACTTGACAGCCCTCCAAACATGAGATCTTGTTATAAAGGTTTTCAGCATCTGCAAAGCAGGTGACGTTATAGTTTTTTTTAAACAGGCAGGGGGCTGGGTCAGTTCACACTGATGTACATTCACACAAATGTAGGTTACTCATAAAAAACAAGGTAAACAAAGCAAAATTATCTAAATACTAAATATTCAGGTTTCAAATGTGAACATAGTCACCGTCTAGAGCAGCGTTTCATATGCAGGCTGACAGTCAGACAATTAAGTGAAAATATAAGTGCACGCAGTAAATGCAAAACGAAAATGTAAGGCCTCCTTTACACTAACATCAGCCTAAGTGCAGGACTGCAGTTGGTGGAGAGGGTCTTTTTTCCTTCGTTTGATGAGGGAGCCAGTGTGCTAACGGCCCAAGGTCCTTTATCATGATTGCTGGTGCGGACAGAGGAACTGGAGCCCCTCCTCCTGCTCGGTCTGTTCCACGAAAGAGAAGCAAAGCATTGGAACAAGCAGGGCTCAGCCAACACAAACAAGCTGTGCAGCTGCCAGATGGGACCAAAAAAAAAATAATAAAAATGTCAGAACCTCTGCCACAGAGACATAGAACAAATAAGGGGGGAGGAAGGGAAACTGAGATAATTCAGGTCAAAACAAAAATAAAAATGACAAAGGGGCCAACACATGAAAGACATATAGCAAGCATGGAGCGGACGCAAGATCGATCATTCATTCTCTAGGCTGAAGGGCAGGAGGAGGATGTGCTTGTTCCAGTGCTCTCTTCCAGTTATAGCACATCGACAAACTGACACATGGATCATAATAAAAGCCCATTTCTGCCATTCAAAGCTCAGTTTACAATGACTTTACTTTCCATCTAAAGACTTTCTTTACAGGCCAAGTCTTTTTTTTTGTTTTTTTTGACAGCTTATATGGGAATGATGATTTACTTCATTATAAACCTATAAACAAAGCAGTGTTGTTATCGTTAAAAAATCATTTAACTGAAATTAAACTGAAATTTAGTGATGTTGCTTTAGCTAAAAATATTTAAGTTGATCTACTAAAATGACTAAAACTGATAACTAATAAAACAACTAGTGCTGTCAAAATTAACGCAGACGATTAATTATTTCACTTTAACAGCGTTAAAAATATTTAACGCAGTTAACGCAGGGGCAGAGCTAGTTTTGGCCACCCCACTCACAACTGCTTCCTCCGTCTCTTTTTCCTTGACAAGAATTTTGTTTATTTAGACGCAGAATGGGAGACTTTTCAGATGCACTCTACTTTGCCTCAGCGACAGGTGTCAAGCGAGCATGGAAACGGTACAGGTGACGAGGCAGCTTCAGTAGAACATCAGTAAACTGTGGTCAGACGAGATGTTACTAGGGATGCACGATATTGGATTTTTGCCAATATCCAATATGCCAATATTTTTCAACTCTTTTTGGCCGATAGCTGATATATTTCCTTTTGTTTGGAAACAACACCAAGGCCCAATCCCAATTCTATTTTATACCCCTTCCCCTACCCCTCCGCCTACCCCTTCCCCTTGTCCCTTGAAACAGAGCGTCAAGGGGTAGGGGTGAAAATATTCCCCTAAGAATTGGGACACCACTACTATGCCGTCACATGTCATCATACGTCGTCTAGCTCCTACAATACACACACCTATACTGGTGTGCTGGTGTGCATTAGAGCCTTTAATTACCATTCTATATTAATGCGCTGCTTACTGACACACA